CTTCCTTCCTTCCTTCCTTCCTTCCTTCCTTCCTTCCTTCCTTCCTTTCTTCCTCTCTCTTATCTTCCTAAACTCAACTTGCCTCTCATTGCTTCTAGATCTTTTTAGACTTCCCTAATTAACATACTATGCTACTTACCACAGAAGATCTATACTTTTTTATCTCTTCTCAACCTCCCATGGTTCCCTCTTCACCCACCCTCTCAGCTGAGAACTGTACTTCATATTTTAGTAAAAATCAAATGAAGCAATTCATTGAGACTTCCCTCTTCTCCCCTCTTCTTTATCTCACATCACACAGATGTCTTCTGTCACTATCTCATCCTCTATTTCTGTTTCACATGATGAGTTGGCCCTTCTCTTTATCAAGGTCAACCCCACTACATTCTTAAGTGTGGTCCCATTCCATCCTATCTCTCACCTTCTATCTCTTCCAGTAGGCTGCTTCCCTAATGCCTTTAAACATTCCACCAACATCCACCCTGATCCTGAGAAACCTTCACTTGATTCAATCATCCCTGCTAACTATCATCTCTCCTGCCTTTTGTGGTTATAAATTCCTTAAAAAGGCTGTTTACAATAGCTAGCTCTACTTTCTCTTCTCTCACTCTTTTCTTAACTCTTTAGTCTGGCCTCTGATCTCATCATTCAACAAAAACTGCTCTCTCAGCAGCAGGGAACATCTATTTCCACAAGGACACCTATTTACCACTCCACCCCCAAGAAATGTAAATAGATAGTGAAGATGAAAAGGATCCCGAATGGCTAAGAGTAAAAACCATTACTCAAATTGAAGAATTTTCTGATGTTAATGAAAGAGAGGAAGAAGTGATGAAATTATGGAATCTACATGTCATGAAGCATGGGTTTATTGCTGACAAACAAATGAATCATGCTTGTATGCAATTTGTAGAGAATTATGGACAGAAAATCATTAAGAAGAATCCCTGTCGAAATTTCATGCTTCATCTGGTCAGCACACATGACTTTACTCACATTAGCATAATGTCAATAGACAAAGCAGTTATGAAACTCCATGAAACGCAGCAGAAATTAGACAAAGGGGAAGCTGGTCTCCCTGCCAATGAAGAGTCGACTGAAGAGCAAAATGGGACCTCCAACGGATATAGTGACATTCACCCAAAGGAGAGGATTTCAGACACTGATACAGTCTCAGGGGTTTCAAAACAGAGTAAGAAACAAAAACTCTGAAAGGCAATGCTAATCCTGTGTAATGGACAAACACTGAAAAACATTCTGGGGAATACACTCTTGGAAGAACTTCTCTTCTCTTTTATTTTGCAAATCTTAGGTTCCAACCAGGCACTGTTAGATGAAGTAAATGATTTCAACAAAGACATTGTATCAAGGTTCACTTGGCTTCATTATGCAAGTAATACATGTAGATCAGTTGTAGTGATGTCATTGCAATATTCTCCAGTTTGAGCATAAAGAGCAATACTTCATAAAAAAACTTTTTTGTAACTTGAGCGATTAATGTCTTATGAAATCTATTGAATTGATAATATAAAAACTTACATATATATAAATTATAAGTTTTGCATTTGTGACTTGTTTTCCTACTTTGTAATTGTGAGACATCGGGGTGGGAACTAGAATATAATTCACTTTTTAAGCAATTTAGACATACAATTAAATTTTGGCGAAATTATGCACATTGCTATTTTCAGTCCAACCTTGATCCTTGCTTCTCGAAATCATTTATCCATTTTGAATGAAGAGTCACAAATTTGGACATAGTTGTACATCAAACAGATTCAGTTACACTTTTCCAAAAGATAAGCTAGCTCTTCTTTGACTTGTGCCTGTTTGGGAAGGTCATGGACTTTTTACCTTTGATAACACAAGCTACCAAGCAGAGTTGTTTGGTTTTGTTTCTGGCAGTGTGTTTTTATGTGGATAATTTTGATGCATTGCTCACCCAGTGTATTCTTTTAAACTTGAACGTTTTGCTATTTTTCTTTTAAAATTAAGTAACTACACATTGAAAATTCTGGCGTCCACATCTTCTCATTAGCTTTGTATCATACATAGCATACTGAGTGAAGAATTTTCAGATGCTAATTTGAAAAAGGGGAGGAACTCCCTTTGAGCTCTGGCAGAGAAGCTGTTCTACACATGAGTGTGCTACTGCAGCAGGACTTTCACTCCATACAAGTGCATCTGAACAGTCCTGAGCAATTTCACCTTTTAGTTGCACACATTTACAGTAGAATTTTCTCTAGTAGGAAGTTGTTTCACTACTGGCACAATGTCAGTACCAATGAGTTTTTATTCCAACTCCAAGTACTGTGGTTGAGAGACATCACCTCAATTTTTTATTATCTTTAAGATATTGTATTTTCATATTCTTTATTTATAAAGAAACAATGCCGCTGTAAATACAGGTATTTTAATTTTTTTTATTTCATTCCTCCACCATCAGATGCATTTCCCTATTTTGTTTAGTGAAGGGATATATAAGCTTTCTAATGGTGTCTTCAGAAATTTATAAAATGTAAATACTGATTTGATTGGTCTTTAAGATGTGTTTAACTGTGAGACTATTTAACTAATGGTGTGGATGTGATTTACCATTCAATATTAAGTTCTTAGTCACTGATTTTTGTGTAAAAATAGGAAAGAGGGAAACTGCAGCTTTCATTACAGACTCCTTGAGTTGTCAGCTCTCCAGTGAGGAGCTCTCATAACTCAAATTATGTCTCTGGGTAGTGGATCTCAAGCATTTCTCTCTGGCTTCAATTTGTTGCAGCTGTGCACATATGTAAAAAATAGATTATTTTAGGGGAGATGTAGGTCTAGAATTATTGCTTATGTCATTTCTTAAGCAGTTATGCTCTTAATGCTTAAAAGAAGGCTAGCATTGTTTGCACAAATGTTGGTGATTCCCCCCAAAAATAGTAATGAAATTACTTTGTTGAGTAAACTTTTTATGTCATATAATAAAAGCTGAAAAAATCCCTTTGTTTCTATTTATAAAAAGATGCCTTTTCTATATGTACTCTTGATAAGAGATTTTGAAGAAATCATGTAAGCTGGTCAAGCATTTGAATGGTACAGTAGATGTGTTTTAAAAAATGGGAAAAGTTGTTGAAATGGACCTTTGTTTTTAGATTAAATGTTTATCTGAAATCAAATGATTTTGTACATAAAGTTCAATAATATAAAAAACAACTGCTGTCTCCAAAGTCCTCAATGCTCTCTTAATTTCCCAATGGCCTTTTCTCAATCCTCAGTCTTCTTGACCTTTCCGCAGCCTTTCATGCTGTTGGTCACCCTCTTCTTGCTAGTTTCTTCTCTCCAGGTTTTTGGGACACTACTTTTTCATGACTCTCCTTCTACCTATCTGACTGCTCCTTCTCTGCCTGCTTTGCTGGATCTTCATACAGATAATGTCCACTGACTATGGGTGTCCCACAGGATATCCTGGGCCCTCTCCTCTTGTCCCTTTATTTTATTTGATGATCTCATCAGCTCCCAAGTATTTCATTAACATCTCTATGCTGATGGTTCTCAAATCTACTTTCCAGACTTAATCTCTATTCCAATCTCTAGACTCAATGTGCCTATTAGATATCTAGAACTCGCTGTCCTAAGATATCTTAAATTCAACGTATCCGAAAGTGAACTCAGAATCTTTTGTTACAAACTCTCTCCTCTTCCAAAATTTCATATTACTGTTAAGAACACCACCATCCTTCCAAACCCCCAAACTCACATAGTAGGTGTCATTCTCTCTCCCACCCTTCACATTCAGTCTGCTGGATGTCTTAAACTCAACATGTCCAAAAGCAAATTCATAATTCTTTCCTTACAAACTCTCTCCTCTTGCGAAATTCCATATTATTGTTAAGAGCACCAGTATCCTCCCAGACGCCTAAGCTCACACTCTTGATGTCATCCTCATTCTTTCTCACCCTTCACACATCCAAGTCGGATGACAAGGCCTACTGATTTTACCTTTATAACATCTCTCAAATACGTCCTCTGATATTCCTCTGATATTCCTATGACCCTGATATTGATCCTTATCTTCTCATACCTGGACTGCTGCAATAACCTCTGGTTGGTCTACCTGTTCTAATTCTCTCCACATTCTCATTCAGCCTCCAGTCAGTCACCAAAGTGATTTTCCTCAAGCTCAGGTCTAACTATGTTAGCCTTCCCCCACTCACTGAACTCTATCTCCTCTCCCCCATCACCTCCAGGATCAACACAAAATCTTCTGTTGGGTGTTCAAAGTCAATAAATGAGTCCTTCCTCTCGTCTACCTTTCCAGTCTTCTGGCTCCTTATACTCTACCTTCCCCCACATTCCCTTTACTCCAGTGCCACTGTCCTCCTTTTTTTTCCTCTAACAAGACATTGTCTCTCGAATCTTGGCAATTTCACTGGCTATCCCTTAACACATGCTATACTCTTCTTCCTAATCTCTACCTCCTAATTTCCCTTACTTCCTTCATTGCCAGTTAAATTGCAACTTCTATAGGAAGTTTTCCCAATTTCCTTTTCCCAATACCACTTAATTCTAGTGCCTTCTCTCTGTCAATTATTTTCTATTTGTCATATATGTGTGTATGTATATGTATTATATATGTATATACACATGTATACATATATATATATATATATAAAATTTTGTGTGTACATACTTGTTTGCATATTATATCTCTTAATAGATTGTGGGCTTCTCAAGGACAGGGACTGTCTTTTGTCTTTCTTTGTATCCCTAGTGTTTAGCTTAGTGCCTAACATATAGTAAGCTCTTAATAAATGACTGATTAGAAGTACTTGCTCTTGCTGAAAGCTCAGCCTTAAGCAATCATATTGGAGAAACTTCTATGTTTTGAGTGATACTTTTTTATTTTGATTTTTTGTTTAGGATACCTGGCAAAGCTGGGGAGTCATTTACTTCTCAGGGATGAAGTTGAAATCATGATTAAGAGTAAGATATTATTTTTATACTCATTTGGTAGATTTGTATATCTATTTAAACTCAGTCATTTTCTATATTTCTTTTTTTAAATTTTTTTCAATCAGAAAAAAAATCTGCTTTCTCTCTCTACCACTCTAACCTTCACCCCAAATTAAGAAGGAAAGAAAAATAAAAACTATTGCAAAACCCATTACAAACATGTATAGTCAAGCAAAGCAAATGTCCACATTGGTCATCTCTAATATCTATATGTATGTATGCATGTATGTATGTATATATGCATGCATATGTGTATCTATGTGTATGTATATATACATGTACACACACACACACACACACATACACACACTTATAATTCTATACTGAATGAACACTCTGTACCAACAGGTGGATAGCGTATTTCAGCATTAGTCTTCTGGTATCATGATTGGTCATTATATTCTTCAGAATTCCTAATTCTTTCAAAGTTCTCTGGCTTTATATTTTGTTGTCATTGTATGAATTATTCTCCTGGACCTGTTCATTTTACTCTGCATCAGTTCATATAAAGTCTTCCCAGGTTTGCTTAAATCATTCCCTCCATCATTTCTTACAGCACAATAGTATTCTATCGTATTTATGTACCATAACTTGTACAGGCATTCCCCTATTTATGGCTCCCCCTCAGATGCACGCTCTTTTTCACCTCAGAAAGAGCTGTAGATATTTTTGTACACCCCTAGTTAGAGTCTGTTTTGCTTAGGACTCGTCCCTCTTGATTATGTGAGATAACTTTCCCCAAACTTCCTTTCACTCCACCCTTTAGTGAATTCTTCTTCTCTTCCCTTTCCCTTGTTCTCTTCAGGGGACTGTAAGCTTATGTGCTTTGCCTTCTGGCTTATAAATGCACACATCTCTACCATCCCACCTCCTGGTGGGGAAAGGAGTAAGTGAGTAATGTTAGTGTTCACAAACTCTGGAATTACCATAGTGGTGGTGGTGGTGGTAGTAGTAGTAGTAGTAGTAGTTGTAGTAGTAGTAGTAGTTGAAGAAGAAGAAAGAAGGAAGAAGAAGAAGGAAGAAGAAGAAGAAAAAAGGAAGGAAGAAGAAGAAGAAAAAGAAGAAGGAGAAGGAGAAGAAGGAAAAGAAGAAGGAGGAGGAGAAGAAGGAGAAGAAGAAGGAGAAGAAGAAGAAGAAGAAGAAGAAGAAGAAGAAGAAAGAGAAGGAGAAGGAGAAGGAGAAGAAGAAGAAGAAGAAGAAGAAGAAGAAGAAGAAGAAGAAGAAGAAGAAGGAAAAGAAGAAGGAAAAGAAGAAGAAGAATTATCCAAGTAGGAGAGAGCCTGGGACCAAAGGAACCATAATTGTGACTTGCAGTCTCAAAGCAATAGGCATGTGTACATGATTCGTCTTTGAGACAAGCATATGCTAATGGCAGGATCAACTGTGTTATGTTATATTCTAAGCTCTCCATTCCTTTACAGTAGTGGCTTTTAATCAAACATGATCTTGACCTTGGCTCTTCTATTTTTGCATTCTTTCTTTGTGGTTGCTCATAGATTTTTTTCCCCTTTTAATCTGGAAGCTCTGGATTTTAGCCATAATGTTCCTTGTTGTTTTCATTTGGGGATTTCTTTCAAAAAGCAGCTGGTGGCTTTTTTCTACTTCCACTTTTTCTCTGGTTCTGAGAAATCTGGGAAGCTTTCTTTTAAGATTCCTTGATATAACATCTTGCTTCTTCTACTTTAAGTATTTTGTTAAGATAGTCCAATGACTCTTAATTTTTTTTCCTTAATCTGTTTTCCAATGTCCTGATTGGACTGGAGTCTTAGAATGTTGCTGCACTCAGCCCCTCTGCCAGCTAAGAAACTCTACTGGTTCATAGTGATCAAACTGCAGGGCAATGATCAGTCTTTGTCCTGGATCAGAACACTTTGGGAGAACTGAAAGGCTGCAAGTCTCCAGCTAGAGATGTCCCTGAGATCCCAGCTGCTCCATATCCCATTTAGATTTCTATATTGTTACCCTTTACATCTTGTGCTACTTCCTAAAGATTCAAGTTTTCTCAGGCAGAAATGAAGAAGCAGTGAGCACCTTGAATAAAGTGATTACAAATCTGACCATAATTTAGGGCAATAATACATTTTGGCCATGAGATCAATTGTATTCTTAAAGCATGGAATCTGACATGGCTAAATAAGCAACCAAAATCAAAATCAGGAGGTTGAATAAGTCCAACCCATTTGTAGAAACAATGATACCAGTGGAATTTCAAACAATACAAAAGTTAAAAAAGTAGTAGAAATCCATGGCTAGAATTTGATTTGAGAGACATGATAACCTATGACTCTTACTTCTCTATTCCTGCTCATCCAAATTAGGGTCAGAGTGGTATTCAACTTAACTGGGAAAACTTAACTTAACTGTCTCTGTTGCCAGATGTTCTTCCAGGTCATGCCCTCTAATATTATACATCTCCCAGTTTTTCTTGGTGATCACATCATCTCCTACGGGTTTAATTATCAACTCTATGTTGATTATTCTGAAATCTATCTTTTTTACTCAAATCTCTCAGCTGACCTCCTGTCTCCAGCTCTGACTGCCTTTCAGATATCTCAAACTGAATATTTGGTAGATACTTAAGCTCAATATATCCAAAACAGAACTCATTATCTTTCTTTTTTTTAATACTAAACATGTATTAATTTATTTATTTTTAGTTTTCAACATTCACTTCCGCAAGATTTTGAGTTCCAAATTTTCTCCCTATCTCACCCCTCCCACACCCCAAGACAGCATACATTCTGAATACCACTTCCCCTAATCTTCCCTCCCTTCTATCACCACCCTTTCTCTTCTCTCCTTCCCCTTCTATTTTCCTGTAGGGCAGAATGGATTTCTATACCCCATTGCCTATATATCTTATTTCCCAGATGCATGTGAAAACAATTTGTTTTTAAAACTTTAGGTTCCAAATTTTCTCCCTTCCTCCCTCCCCACCCACCCTCATTGAAAATGCAAGCAACTCGATACAGGTTATACATGTGTAGTCAGGCAAAACACTTCCATAATAGTCATGTTGTGAAAAACTAAGTATATTTCCCTTCATCCTATCCCACCCCCCATTTATTCTATTCTCTCTTTTAACCCTGTCCCTCCTCAGAAGTGTTTGCTTCTGATTACCCCCTCTCCCAATCTGCCTTCCCTTCTGTCATACCCTCACTCTCTTATCTCCTTCCCCCCTTTTTTCCTATGGGATAAGATAGATTACCATATCCAATTCGGTGTGTGTTATTCCCTCCTGAAGCCAAATCTGCTGAGAATAAGATTCATTCATTCTTTCTCACCTTCCCCCACTTCCTCTCCATTGTAAAAACTTTTTCTTGTCTGTTTTATGTAAGATAATTTACCCCATTCTACCTCTCCCTTTCTCCTTCTCCTCTCTCATACCTTACTTTTATTTTTTAGATATTATCCCTTCATATTCGACTCACCTTGTGCCATCTATCTATCTATCTATCTATCTATCCATATAATTTTTTCCCTCCAATTACCCTAATACTGACAAAGATCTCATGAGTTACAATTATCATCTTTCCATGTAGGAATGTAAACAGTTCAACTTTAATAGGTCCCTTATGATTTCCCTTTCCTTTTTACCTTTTCATGCTTCTCTTGAGTCTTAATTTCAAAGTCGAATTTTCTATTCAGCTTTAGTCTTTTCATCAAGAATGCTTGAAAGTCCTCTGTTTCACTGGATGTCCATTTTTGCCCCTGAAAGATTATATTCAGTTTTGCTGGGTAGGTGATTCTTGGTTGTAATCCTATCTCCTTTGCCCTCTGGAATATCATACTCCATGCCCTCTGGACCCTTAATGTAGAAGCTGCTAAATCTTGTAATATCCTGATTTTGTTTCCATAATACTTGAATTGTTTCTTTCTGGCTACTTGCAATATTTTCTCCTTCACCTGGGACATCTGGAATTTGGCTATAATATTCCTAGGAGTTTTCCTTTTGGGGTCTCTTTCAGGTGGTGATTGGTGGATTCTAGCCATCTCTATTTTACCCTCCGGTTCTAAAATATCAGGGCAGTTTTCCTTGATGATTTCTTGAAAGATGATGTCTAGGGTCTTTTTTTTTTTATCATGGTTTCAGGTAGTCCAATAATTTTTAAATTATCTCCCCTGGATCTATTTTCCAGGTCAGTTGTTTTTCCAATGAGTTATTTCACATTGTTCTCTAGTTTTTCATTCTTTTGGTTTTGTTTTACAATGTCTTGACTTCTTATAAAGTCATTAGCTTCCTTTCGTTCCATTCTAATTTTTAAGGAAGTATTTTCTTCAGTGAGCTTTTGGATTTCTTTTTCTATTTGGCCAATTCTGCTTTTAAAGGCATTCTTCTCCTCATTGGCTTTTTGGACCTCTTTTGCCATTTGGGTTAGTCTATTTTTTAAGGTTTTATTTTCTTCAGTATTTTTAGGCCTCCTTTAGCAAGCTGTTGACTTGTTTTTCATGATTTTCTTGCATCACTCTCATTTCTCTTCCCAATTTTTCCTCTACTTCTCTTACTTCTCAAAATCCTTTTTGAGGGGTAACTAGGTGATGCAGTGGATAAAGCTCCAGCCTTGGAGTCCTGGGCAAGTCACTTAACCCCAACTGCCTCACCAAAAAAGCAAAAAAAAAAAAAAAAAGGCTCCTCAAAATCCTTTTGGAGCTCTTCCATGGTCTGGGACTGGTTCATATTTTTCTTGGAGGCTTTGGATGTAGGAGCTTTGACTTTGTTGTCTTCTTCTGGTTGTATGTTTTGATCTTCTTTGACACCAAAGCAGGATTCTATGGTCTGACTTTTTGTGCTGTTCATTCATTTCCCCAGCCAATTACTTGAGTTTTAAACTCTTTGTTAAGGTAGGGGTCTGCTTCTAGTGTGGAGAATGTAATATCCCAAGCTTTGGGGGTTTTGTGCAGCTGTTTTCAGAGATACTTCTAGGAACCTGTAAATTTTCAGTTCTTCCAAGGTGGTATGATCAAGGGCC